GGCACCCCGCGTGGTCCGTCGCAGACCGCTTTTCTCCGCACGTTGCACGCGCGCGACGTCTTCGCGCGCGGCCGCGCGCGCAGTGCATCCCAGGGCCGGCGCCGCCACCGGGGCCTCCACCCGCGATGCTTACGGCCCGTCGGCGTCGCAGCCGCAGCTCGGCAGCGGACCCAGTGGCAGCGGCACGCCGCGCGCTACGTACGGCAACGGAAGGTTTCGAGCGTCAGATGGGCGATCCGCGCTGCGAGATCGCGAAGGCTGCCGCAGCCGCCAAGTCGCCCGAGGCGGGGCGGGCGTGGGCCCAGGTTGCCCGCAACAGCGCCCTGCTCGGATCGTGCCCACGGTCACTACCGCAGGTTCGCAGCGGCTTCGAATGTTGGGTGAAGTTCGCGCGCGACGTTTTGCAGCGCAAAGGCAGCGAACTCCCGCCGTCGGTCGACGGTCTTTTGCTCTGGTCTACGACGTTCAGGTGTCGCGCGACGTTACGCAATTACCTTTCGCATTTGAAGAAGGCATGCCACGTCGCGCGCGTGGCAGACGCAGCGTTCACGCACGCGTCGCTGGCCGGCGCCAATCTGGCTATCGAGAAGCGTTCGGGTTGGTCGGCACGACCCCGCACGGCGGTCTGGATGCACGTGCTGGAACAGCTACTGGAACGCCCAGGCGCGTTACCAGAGGGATCCGGGCTGGGTCTCCTCTTCGCGACCGCGTACGCGTTTCTACTTCGCCCCCCGTCGGAAGCGCCGGCCGTCCAACGGGCCGCCTCGCTCGACGACGCGTCACATTCACGCGCGGGCCTTTTCATCGGCGAAGAGGCGGCCGTCTTATCGCACGCCAGACGGAAGAACCGGGAAAGACGGACAACTATTGCGCGCAATTGCTGGTGTCAGCGCTCACGCGCCACGTGCCCCGTACACGCTCTCGGCGCGCGGTTCAACTCGCAGTCCGTTGGAGAGGCCCCGCGGGCGGGCTGGTGCGCCACGGGTGTGCGTAACGCGCTGCGGTCGGCACTGCGTCACACGGGAGTAGTTAACGCCGACGCCTACGGCGCCCACTCGTTCCGTCGGGGCCACGCCCAAGACAGCGTGGAGTTCGGCGGCCGAGCCACCGACATCCTGAAGGCAGGTGACTGGCAGATGCCAGCTTGGATGCGCTATCTTGACGTTGAGAAGATGGAGCGCCAGGCCGTCGCCGAGGCGCATTTCGGCGCGTCGCCCAGTGACGACGAGGGTGGGGATTCGGAAACCCCCGGCGCCCAGCGACGTCATTCCACGCTTGGTCGGTGCAAGTAGCGTCGCGCCAGGCCCCTTCGCACGTTCGTTCACCCTCGTTCGGTCCATCGGTCGCTCTCTCGCGGGCCACGCGTCTGCGGCCGTCTCTCTGCCTGGCATTGGGTGGCAGCATGCCTGCGGGTGCCGCAGGCCCGCTGTGTGGGGCAGCGCTCGGCCTCAGCCCCTGGGTCCGTGGCAGTGGGTATGGCACCCATGTGCTTCGGCCTGCGCCCTGGCGCGCCAGCCGCCTGTGTCGTTTGACGCGGTGGGCTGGCGTGTCGGCTGTTGGCGCACGGCCGCGGCCTCACCCAACGTTGTTTGGGTGCCGTATTCCCCCCTCTGGGCGGCATCGCGGTCGAACGTCGCCGCGAAAGAGACTTATGGGGCAGTAATAACTTGTTATTGCAAGTCATAAGTCGACGCCCCCAGGCGGGAGTGTCCCGCCGTCGGCGCACCGCGCGATGGCGGGCGCCCGCATGTCCACCCGCCACGCGCCGCCGCTACGTCGGGCAGGCCAGGCCCCGCGCGGGCATGCTGGCGTGCCGCGCGGCCGTGCGTCGGGGTCCTTCCTCCCTTCGCTCCTCCGTGCACGGTCGCGATGTCTCCTCTTTGCCGCCTGGCCGCGGGGCGGGATATCAAGTACCCGGTCATGTCTGCAGCGCCCCACCTGCCTAGTGTGCACTCTTAAGGTGGGGCGGCTGGCCGGGGTGTGGTCCTCTGTCTGCCAGTGTGCGGCTTTGGACCAACCCTGGGGGCGACGCGCGGGGCGTCCGTTCGCCTGAGTGCGCCGGGCGCGACCGCGGTCGCGCTTCTTTTCTCCCACCCACCACCCTCGAGGGGGGGTATGGTACCCATGTGTTTCGGCCTGCGCCCTGGCGCGCCAGCCGCCTGTGTCGTTTGACGCGGTGGGCCGGCGTGTCGGCTGTTGGCGCACGGCCGCGGCCTCACCCAACGTTGTTTGGGTGCCGTATTCCCCCCTCTGGGTGGCATCGCGGTCGAACGTCGCCGCGAAGGAGACTTATGATCCTCTTCCTCCTCCTCCTCCTAACACACACACACACACACACACAACACCTACAACGCACAGAAAACACGCACCATACAAAGCACACACCACACACACACACCCATACGATACTCACAATCCTGGGGCCTCCTGGAGCCTCTTCCGGTATCCAGGTCGGGCCTCTTGAGGCTTCCTGGGGGGCCCTGGTACACACATCGCAAGGTGTGGCAACCCCACTTGCGCTCGAGCGCGACCTCGCTATTGCATTTCACTCCCAGCAGCTATCCTGCTTGTCCTCTTCTCCTCCTTCTCTTTCCTTCCACAAATTGTCTGGTGAACTCGGCTGGTGGGAATCGTGCTTACACTTCTCTTAGGCACGCCCTGGCGGCGCCGCCCCAGCTTCCCCTTCTCCATCTCCGAACCCGCCGTCATGGTGTTTTCCTGCTTCAAACGCCCTTTCAGTTTTGTTTGTATGAGCCTGGGCACACACGTGCCACTCTTATATATGCCTATAGCCCTATAGCCCTATAGCCCTATATCCCTATAGCCCTATAGCCCTATAGCCCTATCGCCCTATGGCCCTATAGCCATATAGCCCTATAGACTCATAGCCGTATCGCCCTATAGCCCTATAGCCCTATAGCCCTATAGCCCCAGAGCCCCATAGCCCCATGGCCCTATAGCCCTACAGCCCAATAGCCCTATGGCCCTATAGCCCTATAGACCTATAGCCCTATGGCCTTATGGCCCTATGGTTCTAGAGCTACATAGCCCCATAGCCCTATAGCCCCAAAAAGACTTTGATTGGAGCTTGTCTCCGGTATCATCCTCCTGTAGAGGGACGTGCCCGACGCAACTCTGGGTCCCGGGCACGGCACGGCAGGGCGCGGCACGGCAAGGATCATAGAACCGAAGCGCGGCACGGCACGGCATCGCTTCCGCACTCTAGGCTTAGGTCGGGCATGTCCTCCTGCAGGCGGATCTCGAGCGAAAAAGGAAGAAAATAGGCAAAAACTACCCGACGATGACCAAAAACAATGTGGCAAAGCCGCTCCCAGATGACGTGTTCTTCGACTGCTCTCGAGCACTCCTCCTTTGTAGAGAGACGCGCCCCACTGAATTCTGGGCCCTGGGCACGGCACTGACTACCTACCAGACCACCCCAACCCAACCCGAAGACACCGATTTCGGGTTGGGGTGGGGGTACGGGTTCCGTCTGTGTTTTTTCATTGTGTTCTCCGACCCCCACCACACCCGAAGTGGAGGGCAAATTGAGGCCGTCGGGTTGGGTCGGGCACGCAGGAGGCATCTGTATACCACCACCGTGCCAAGCTAGAACCATCCTGGCCCTGGCATGGTGTAGACGCCCTCCTGGCCGAGGCCAGGAGGCTCTATACACCATCCTGAGGCCCAGGATGGCCCTGCCCTGGCACGGTGGTGGTGTATAGATGCCTTCGTCGGATGGGGGTGGCCCGGTGGGCGGTGCGGCGCGGCGGGGCACCGCACGCCACGGCTGGGCACGGCACGGTACGGCCAAGGCGCCCCTCGCCGCCCAAGGCACCCGAGCACGCCGCGGCACGCCGCGCCCCCGCCGCGCCGCGGCGCGGCACGCCGCGCGGCACGGCGCGGGGCGCCGCGCCGCACGCCGCGCGTGCCCCCGGGGCGCGGCAGCGCGCGGCGGCGCCCGGCGGCGCACGCTTCGCGCTCTGATGCTGTGCCGCAAGCGCCGAGCCAGCGTTCCTCCGATCCCCGGCCCCCAGCGGCGGGAGTTACATCAAGAGAGTCAGCATCATCCCTAAGAAAGTAGCAGGGTACGAACAGTTGTTCGGACCCAGCTCCGGTGGCGGACCGAGTTCGGGCGTCTAGACACTTGATACTAGCGCTTCTGATGACTCCCTTTCGATTGCCTGTGCCGAACAGCCCTGTAGCTTATCTGCAACTCGAATGAAGTTAAGAAAACCGACAGCACCTGCGGCCTGGGCCCCGCTGGCCGACTTGCCCCCCTGGATGGGGATACGTGGGCCGTCGCCTTCGGGTCTCGAGGGGCGTGTCCCCAGCTGGGGGGGCGATTTGGTGGGGGTCTCGAAGGGAATGGGGATGGGGATCGGATAAACGATACTGCAACACGGGCCTGGTCTCTTTGAGAAGTCAGACCCCCTGCATCACTCGCTGTTCACCAAAGTGCTGCACTTCGAACAGCGATGCTGCTCACCCGGTCGCTGTTCACGGAATGCTGCATCACTCGCTGTTCACAAGTGCAGGGGCCCTCTTTCTTCGGAACGCAGCTTTCGCCAGACGTCTCCTTACCAGGGGACGCTCTGTATGGCTACGAAATTAGAGGTGGCCTAGCAGCTTTGCTGAAACACTGTGCTTACTCTAGTCCTTCTTCTCTCCCTCCTCCTCCTCATCATCATCATCCTCCTACTCCTCCTCCTCCTCCTCCTCCTCGACCTCCCTCCTCCTCCTCCTCCTCCTCCTCCTCCTCGGCCCTTCTCCTCCTCCTCCTTCTCCTCCTTCGCCCTCCTCCTCACTCCTTCTCCCTCCTCCTCCTCCTCCTCCTCCTCCTCCTCCTCCTCCTCTGTCCGTGTCCTCCCTCCTCCTCGTCGTCCTCATCCTCCTCATTCTTCCTCCTCCATCCTCCTCCTCATCATCATCCTCCTCCTTCTCCTTCTCCTCCTCAGCCTAGCTCCTCACCGCCCAGACCCTGGCGCAATCGCGGCTACTTTCTGCAATCGAGGGCGCGATGTGGGGAGTCCGTGCACGCGGCTCACGTCAAAGAGGAAGGTCCATGAAGAGACCGCCCGGATCCGACGAGGTTGATGGGGAGCGGAGAGGAGTGCATCTAGCCCGCCACCCCGGAGCGGAAGAGGCGGGGAGGAGGGTGGGAGGGGCGGGAGAGGGGGAAAGGGGGGGATAGAGGAGAAGTGGAGGGGAGGAGCAAGTAGGCGGGGTAGGCGCGGAAGGGAGGCGGGGGGAAGGCACGGGAGATGGGCGGGCGAGGCGAGGGAGCGGGGGCGAGGGGGGGGGGAAGGGAGGGGAGGGAAAGGGAGGGGAGGCTGTCTTCCTCGAGACTGCATGGGCACTCCCGAACCTCAGGAGGGAAGGGAAGGGAGGGGAGGGGCAGGACGGGAGGGGAGGGGAGGGAAGGGGAGGGGGAGGGGAGGGGGAAGGGAGGGGGAGGCGAGGAGAGGGGAGTGAGTGGGGAGAGCGGTGAGCGAAGGGAACGGAGAGAAGGAGTGGAGGAGGAGGGGGGGGAAGGGGCCGCGGGAGAGGAGGAGAGAGTGGCGAGGGGGGGGGCCCTGAAGGACCTCAGTCCCCAAGGTGGCTGCACCGCTCTCCATTCACCAACCAAGCTAGCAATGGCCATCTCGGCTCGCATTGCGATGTTCGGAGCCAACGAATCGCCAAGCCGAGCCGCCACGCCACGCCACGCAACTCCAGACGGCGTGTCGTCAGACGGCGGAGGTCGCCCGATGCATTGCACAGGAGCTCCCTCTTCCTCCACCTCCTCCACCTCCTCCTCCTCCTCCTCATCCTCCCAATCCTCCTCCTCCGCCTTCTGCGCCTCCTCCGCCTCCTCCTCCTCCTCCTCCTCCTCCTCCTCCTCGTCATCATCATCATCATCATCATCATCATCATCATCATCATCATCATCATCATCATCATCATCATCATCAATCATCATCATCATCATCATCATCATCACCATCACCATCATCATCATCATCATCATCATCATCATCATCATCATCATCATCATCATCATCATCGTCATCATCATCATCATCAGCATCATCATCATCATCATCATCATCACCACCACCACCATCATCATCATCATCATCATCATCATCATCCCAATTATCCTCCTCCTCCTGCTCTTCCTCCTCGTTGTCCTCGTCCTAATCATCCCCATCGGCAACGGATTCCTCGTCATCAGCATCATCAGCAGCAGCATCATCATCAGCATCCTGATCATCAGCAGCAGCAGCATCAGCATCAGCATCAGCAGCAGCATCAGCATCAGCATCATCATCATCATCATCATCATCATCAGCATCATCATCATAATCCTCATCATCATCCTCATCCTCATCATCATCAGCATCATTATCATCATCGTCATCATCACCACCACCACCATAACCATCGTCATCATAATCAGCAGCAGCAGCACCGGCATCAGCATCAGCATCCGTATCATCATCAGAAACATAATCGTCACCATCAGCATCCTCATCATCAGCAGCAGCAGCATCATCAGCATCATCATCCTCATCATCATCATCAGCATCATCATCAGCATCATCAGCAGCAGCATCATCACACAAAATCTTCATCAGCATCAGCATCGTCGTCATCGTCATCGTCATCGGAATCTGCATCCGCGTCCTCATCCTCATGTTCATCATCATAATCATCAGCAGCATCAGCATCGTCAACATCAACATTATCATCGGCATCAACATCATCATCATCATCATCATCATCATCATCATAATCATCATCAACTTATTCATTTTCTTCTTCATCATCATCAACATCATCATCATCATCATCATCATCACCATCATCATCATCATCATCAGTATCAACAGCATCATCATCATCATCCGTGTCGTCGTTCTCATCATCAGCAGCATTAGCAGCATCGTCGTCAGCATCACCATCATCAGCAGCATCAGCATCAGCATCATCATCATCATCATCATCATCATCATCATCATCAGCCCCAGCATCATCATTATCAGCAGCATAATCATCATCAGCATCATCATGTCCATCGCAATCAGCATCACCAGCAGCATCATCGTCAACATAAACATAATCAGCATCATCATCCTCATCACCGTCATCGTCACCAGCATCATCATCATCGTCGTCATCATCATCAGCGTCGTCACTGTCATCATCGTCATCATCAGCCGCAGGAGCAATATCATCCTCAGCATCATCATCATCGTCATCATCATCATCATCATCACCACCATCGTCCTCTTCTTCCGCATCGTGACAATCAAGACCACCAGAATCATAATCGTCGCCATCCGTCACCATTATTACCACCAACAAAGAAACATCATAAACAACATCGACAGTCTTGCATTCGGCATCATCCACCTCCCCCCATCACCAAAAATCATCCATCACCATACACCACCACATATCACCAGCAGTCATCTCCATCATTGTCACACTCGTCAGTGGTATATACAATCATTACCACCACCACCACCATCATCGTCGTCGGCGTCACCATCGCCACCAGCATAACCGACAGTATGCCGAAAGAACACGATGTCGGGTCGGTCGGAAATGGCAGTAGAAAGATCGATAGAAGCAGAAGCGAGAGGAGAGGAGAGAAGGGGGGGATCCTTCCTTCTAAGCCTTATGATCCATCCCGTAACGTCTCTCTCTCTCTCTCTCTCTGTAGCTCTCGGAAGACCCACGAGGACCGTCGTAATCACAATCGCATGTTCATCATCATCATCATCATCATCATCATCATCATCATCAACAACAACAATCATCATGAGCAGCAGCAGCATCATCATCATCGTCAGCATCGTCCTCATAACCCACATGTTCGGCATAATCACCATCATCATCATCATCATAACCCTCGTCCAACTGACCATGGTCGTCATCGACATCATCGTAATCACCACCATCGTCGTCATCATCACAATCTGCGTAAGCATGATCATCATCATCATCATCATCATCATCATCATCATCATCATCATCATCACCACAACCACTCCCATCATCATCATCATCATCATCATCAGCATCATCATCATCAAATCGTCATCATCGTCATCATCCCCATCATCACCAGAATCATCACCATCATCAGCAGCATCATCATCGTCATCATCATCATCAGCATGATCATCATCATCATCATCATCATCATCATCATCATCATCATCATCATCATCATCATCATCATCATCATCATCATCATTAGTATCATCATCATCAGCATCATCATCCGCATCAGCATCATCATCATCAGCAGCAACATCAGCATCCGTGTCATCATAAGTATCATCAGCATCCTCATCACCAGCGGCATCATAATCGTCATCAGCAGCAGCATCATCATCAGCATCAGCATCATCATCATCAGCATCATCATGACCATCATCATACAACATAATCAGCAGCATCATCAGCATCATCATCATCATCATCATCAGCGTCATCATCAGCAGCAGCAGTCAATCAGCATCATCATGATTATGAACACCACCAGCAACAACAACACCATCAGCATCAACCGTGACCATCTTCATCCTCATCCCCGCCACCACCACCACCAGCCTCACCATCCTCATTGGGGAAACCAAAGGGTACCAATACTTCTACTCCCCGGACCTCTCATGCGGTGCGTTCTGACCAGAATTTCAAGGCGAATCCGGCGGTGGCGACGAGGGCCTCCCAGAGGCCCGCAAATCTGGGAAAGACAGAACCCCCTTGAGTAAAACGAAGTTTAGTGAAAACGACCTCGGGCCCAAACCTGGCGGGCGCAAGCCTGGAAGATGACGGCCGCGGCGCCCTCTCGAGAACCGTGTCAGGCGGGGGTCTGTCCACCCCCGAAAAAATGGGGAAGCGAGCCAAAGCACGCCTCGCAGGAGGAGGAGGAAGGAGGAGGAGGAGGAGGCGGAGGAGGCGGAGGAGGAGGAGGAGGAGGAGAAGGAGGAGGAGGAGGAGGAGGAGGAGAGGTGGTGGAGGGGGAGGAGGAGGAGGAGGTGCTCCTGGGGATCGGCGGCGTGGCGCGGGCCCCCACGATCAAGTCGGTGAGGACGGTGCTGGTGCCTCCCGTGGCGGCCTCCGCCCCAGGGCGGCTGCCTCCCCGGTGCGCGCACGGCGCTCGCCAGAACTCGCCGCCGTGCCCCGTGGCACGCTGAGGCGTGCTCCTCTCTCTCTCCTCCTCCTCTCCTCCTCCCTCCTCTTTCCTCCTCCTCCCCTCCTCCTCCTCCTCCTCCTCCTCCTCCTCCTCCTCCTCCTCTCCTCTCCTCCTCCTCCTCTTCCTCCTCCTCCTCCTCGTCCTTCTCCTCCTCCTCCTCCTCCTCCTCCTCTTCCTCCTCCTCCTCCTCCTCCTCCTCCCTCCTCCTCCTCCCTCCTCCCCCTCCTCCCTCCTCCTCCTCCTCCTCCTCCTCCTCCTCCTCCTCCTCCTCCTCCTCCTCCTCCCCCCTCCTCCTCCTCCTCCTCCTCCTCCTCATCCTCATCATCATCATCATCATCATCATCATCATCATCATCATCAATCACCCATCACCATCACCATCACCATCACCATCATCATCATCATCATCATCATCATCATCATCATCATCATCATCATCATCATCATCATCATCATCCCTCCTCCTCCTCCTCATCATCCCTGCTCCCTCCTCCTCCTTCTCCTCATTCTACTCCTCTTCCTGCTCCTCCTCCAAGTGTCGGCGTTGGTTTCTGACTCCGCGTGGATCGTTCAACCAATCACCAAATCGCTCCATGTTGGCCGGTTCTGGGCCACTGGAGGCGCTCAGGGCGCCTGGAGGGGTCGCCGCTGCGTCGGCACAACACGACCCTGCCGCACCCCTTTCGTCGGCGGCTAGCGAGGGGGGGAGTGATGGGCCAACTGTCCACCATCACTACCATAGGTAGGACGCGGGCGAAGGGAGGATGGGCAGGCCCTCCTCCTCCTCCTCCTCCTCCTCCTCCTCCTCCTCCTCCACCTCCACCTCCACCTCTTCTTATTCCTCCTCCTCCTCCTCGTCCTCGTCCTCCTCGTCCTCCTCCTCCTCCTCCTCCTCCTCCTCCTCCTCCTCCTCCTCCGCCTCCTCCGCCTCCTCCTCCGCCGCCCCTCCGCCTCCTCCGCCTCCGCCTCCGCCTCCTTCTCCTCCTCCTCCTCCTCCTCCGCCTCCTCCTCCTCCTCCGCCTCTGCCTCCGCCTCCGCCTCCGCCTCCGCCTCCGCCTCCGCCTCCGCCTCATCCTCCTCCGCTTAGTATTAGCATTAGTATTGTTATTATTATCATTATTATTATTAGTATTATTATGATTATTCGTAGCCTTATTAATAGTATAATCATTGTTAGTATTAGCATTAGTAGTATTAGTATGGTTATTAGTATTATTAGTATTATTATTACTATTATTATTAGTAGTATTATTATTACTAGTATTATTAGTAATGAAAATAAAATTAGTAATAGTATTATTAGTAGTAGTATTTTTATTATTAGTATTATTAGTAGTATTATTAGTTTTATTATTATTAGTAGTAGCATCATGAATGTTATTATTATTATTAATATTTGAATTGTTAATATTATTATTACTACTACTATTAGCATCGTCATCAGTAGCATTATTTTTATTAGTATTAGTATTATGATTATTATTAGTAGTAGTATTATTATGATGATTATTAGTAGTATTATTATTGTTAGTCGTATTATTAGTATCCGTAGTACTATTCTTATTATTCGTAGTAATAGTATTCTTGTTATTCGTAGTAGTATGCTTATTCTTTTTCTGCGTATTACCATTATTCTTAGTAGTCATGGTATTATTCGTCTGCTTATGGATACTAGCAATAATATTGGCTTGCTTCTTATTATTAGTAGTGGTATTCGCATGGTTCGTCGTGTTCTTATTAGTATACTTGTTATGCTTATTGTTATTAGTAGTAGTAGTCGTATTCTTCTTATTCTTATTAGTATTAGCATTGTGAACCTTAGTATTATTGGTTGTCTTATTATTCGCCGTATTCCTCTTATTATTATTCTTATTAGCATCAGTAGTATTATTCGTAATCCTCTTATTAGTATTCGCCTTAGTATTCGTATTAATCGTCTTCGTATCAGTCTTAATAATACCATCAGTACTTATGATTGCTATTATTATTACTAATAAGTATGATCAGTATTAGTATGAGTATTGTTATTAGTAAGTGCAGTATTCTTATTAGTATTATTAGTAGTAGTATCACCCTTCTTCTTAATAGTATTAGTATGAGTGCTTATTCTTCGTATTAGTCGTATTATTATTATTATTAGTATTCGTGTTCGTCTTAGTTTTCTTTTATTATGATTAGTCTTATTATTATTATTACTATTATTATTATTAGTTTGCATGATCCTCCTCCTCCTCCTCCTTTTCCTCTTCCTCTTCCTCCTCCTCCTCCTCCTCCGCCTCCGCCTCCTCCGCCTCCTCCTCCTCCTCCTCCGCCTCCTCCTCCTCCTCATCCTCCTCCTCCTCCTCCTCCTCCGCCTAGGCCTCGGCCTCCGCCTCCGCCTCCGCCTCCGTCACCGCCTCCGCTTCCGCCTCCGCCTCCGCCTCCGCCTCCGCCTCCTCCTCCTCCTCCTCCTCCTCCTCAGCATCATCACAACCTACAATCACCATCATGGCTGCCCCAAGCCTGGGGACACGAGGTGTCACAAGCGACGGCCTCCAGTGCCCCCTCGAGCTGTCGCCACCCCGAATGCTGGGCTGGCACGGTGGCGGGAGTTGCCGCAGGCAGCTGGACAAAGAAAAAACATTCGCCGTCAAATTGATGGCGGTTCCTACTGAGCGCGCAGACGTTCACCTCTTAGAAGAAACTGAACAGCAACCCGTGTGGTGTACACAGGGCAAATGCAGCTGCAGATATGTATGCCCGACGTGGAGCTGCTCGACACACAATCGATTAATTAGCCCTGACGCACACTGAGCGCAGTAACCTTACTGTTACAGTCGTTGGTAAGTTTATCGCATATGCAATGCCTAATGCCTTGAAGCTATTTGAACTGTATAACGACCTCAGAATCCGCCAACCCCCCGCGACATCCTCGGCGTGTGAGATCGGGACCCATTGGGCGAGCAATGGGCGATTCAGGGTCGATGCGTTCATTCTCCCCTCTCCCCCTAACGTTGCCCCTCTAGCTCTCTGAGTATCGTTTAACCGATCCCCATCCCCGGCGGCGTGGCCTGGGCCCCACTGGCCGATTTACCCCCCTAGATGGGGATATAGGTCGTTCCCTTCGGGTTTCGAGGGGTGTATCCCCGACTGGGGTGGTAATTTGGTGGGGGTCTCGAAGGGGATGAGGATGGGGATGGGGCTCGGTTAAACGCTACTGACTTTCGGGTCCTAAATCTGCTCTCTGGCGGCCGTTCGGATGATCCCGACACCCCCCCCCGCAGGAATCGCGCGCCCTGTCGCCTGCAAGCGAGAGAGGTCGCCGGCACCAAGATGGACGAGAGCTCCCCCACACAAATCACCGGGTCGCCGCATCACAAGCATGATGATAAGCAGCATCATCATCATCATCATCATCATCAGCATCATCATCATCATCATCATCATCATCATCATCATCATCATCATCATCATCATCATCATCATCATCATCATCATCATCATCATCATCATCATCACCACCACCACCATCATCATCATCATTCATCATCAGCATCCATCATCATCATCATCATCATCATCATCATCATCATCATCATCATCATCATCATCATCATCATCATCATCGCCATCATCATCGACATCATCATCATCATCATCATCATCATCATCATCATCATCATCATCATCATCATCATCATCATCATCATCATCATCATCATCATCATCATCATCGCCATCATCATCGACATCATCATCATCATCATCATCGCCAGAAGGCCACTGCATCTTTCCAATGGACACGGTGGGGGCTTTGGATAAGGAACCCTTGCATAAGGAATCCAGGGTCTGGAAGCCAGTGGAACTCCAATCGCGGATCGGCCATGGATATCACCGCCGCCCCCATGGGATAAGGAATCCTCCAGGGTCTGGCGCCTCCTGGGACTATTCCTTGAAAAACGCCTCCACCGTACCCAGTAGGCGTCCGAGAGGGACCCGAAAAGCCCGGAGATGCTCCGAAGAGGTTCCGAAGGTCCGTGGGGAAACACAACCAGCCGTACCGATACTCACATGCAGGAGAGTTCCAACCAGCAGCCCAGGCACACCGGAGTGATGGCCTCCAAGTCTCTATACCCGCCCTACACAGTACGGGGTCGGCGGCAGAGGCAGCAGCCTTTAGTTTAATGAGTGGGCGGGATCACCGTACAGATGTGTCCTTTCCTCAGGTCTTTGATAACCCTGGCGAGTATGGGCCTCCCATAGATGTAGACCCCCAGTACTTGAACGTGCGTATACTCATCTACGAATGGCTCGGCAGCGCAGCGCAACGGTCTGCACGCCGGTGCTGTCGATAGGATGAGAGGGGGGCCGGTCTGTGGCTGGAGGTGGTGGAGCATCTTGTGCCGATACGACGGCCCCGACACGCCCGGTGCTCAAAACTGAGCACCCAGATCTCCGAGAATCTGCTGCCCAGCCCTGCCGCACCAGCCCCGTGACGTTGCACAGTCGTCGAGGCCGGTGCTGTTTCCGGTGCTCAGGAGGAGGGGGAGGAGGAGGAGGAGGAGGAGGAGGAGGAGGAGGAGGAGGAGGAGGAGGAGGAGGAGGAGGAGGAGGAGGGAGGAGGAGGAGGAGGAGGAGGCTCGGGGGCCCACCGGGCCCGCGCCTGCGCCATGGCGGCGTCGTCGTCGCCGCCGCCTGCCTCTGAGGACCTGGGCCCCCGCCTGCGGGCCTCGCCACCAATCAGGGTCAGAGTCAGATTCCTGATGAGCAACTCCCCCTCCGAACATTGTGGTGTAGGTGACGTACCCGATCTACAGGGGCTCGCTCCTGCCAGAAGCCGAAGCACAGCAGACAACCATGGGCATCACAAGCTGTAGGCGATGTCACCACAGCGGCCGGCCATAACGGCATCTGTATAGCGGATCTCCGTCTCGGGAGCGGCCAAGAAGGGGGTGTCCAAGAGGGGGGGTGCAGATCATGACCGGCGGCATGTGCGCGGCCCAGCGGAGGGGCCAGGGACGTAATGAAATCCGCTGATCCGGCGTGAGTTTCTGAGAGCGTGGACTTGAGCTCGCTCAAGTTTCGCTCTGTAGGGGGGGGGGCGTATGTTATTTCCGACGTCATTTCCGACTGTTTTCGGTACCCGGGGATATTTCCGACGTCATTTCCGACGTTTTTCGGTACCCAGGGACAGGGGGGTATAGAAAACTCCACTTCCGGAGCCCCGACCGCCCAAGACATCCCAAGAGGAAGCCAGGAGAGGCCCCAGAGGCCCCCTAGACAATGCAAGAGGGCCCCGAATCGCCGAAACGTCGCTCGAATCGACCAAGATGCCCCGAAGACAGCTCCAGAAACCTCCAAGACGTCCCCAGGATCCCTCACGACACTTCCCAAGAATGCCCAAAGACTGACAAATAGACCCCTTCCCTTCGGAAAACGTATATTTTCGGCATATTCGTTTCTTGGGCCTTCACACTGTCCAAGACGGCCCCAGAGCTCCCTAAGACACGCCAACAGGCCCCCAAGAGGGCTGCAAGACGGCCCCAGAAGGGCCCAAGACGGCCCAGGAGCGCCACAAGACGACCCAAGTCCAGAGCCCAGACCGCACAAGACGGCCCAAAGAAAAGCCAAGAGAGGCCCCCTGGATCGGCGGCACTGGCCAGAGGCCAGCCCAATAAGAAGAGGCGCCATGAAATCTGGGGAAATATCCTGCCCCCCGCCATGATATCCACCCCCCCTCGTCATCACCCACCTCTTTGCCGCCCCCGACTGTCACAACCCGAGGCCAATCGCAAGGGCGGGCCGGGCGCTTCGCCTGAGACACCCTTGCCGCTTCTGCTCCTGAAGCCGGGGAGACTTGGCATGGGTTTCACGGATGGAGGGCGGGTCGCCGCCAAAGTGTGACTCTCGCCGTAGCTCCGCGCACATTCGCTTTAAATTAGCCTGACGAAGGACCCAACCATATGCAGGTGTGAGTACCGCAATTGTGATTCACTTTTTTCGGTGGTGATCCCTATGGGGCAACGAACCGTGCTAGGGGTGTGCCGAAATGAGTGGCGTGGTACACAAGGCGAACGAAAACGAACAACACAATGCGGACTGCGCCACGGGGACCTTCGGTGGAGCCCCACGAAACGCTGTACTGGGTGAGGGAGACGCATGCGGACTGTGCCACAGGGACTTTCGGTGGAGTTCCTTATGGGGCCACGAAACGTGTGAGGGGTGTGCCGAAATGAGTGGCGGGGACGCATGCGGACTGTGCCACTGGGACCTTCGGCGGAGCTCCTATGGGGCCACGAAACGTGTGAGGGATGTGCCGAAATGAATGGCGGGGGCGCATGCGGACTGTGCCACTGGGACCTTCGGCGGGGCTCCTATGGGGCCACGACACGTGTGAGGGGTGTGCCGAAATGAATGGCACGGACGCATGCGGACTGTGCCACTGGGACCTTCGGCGGAGCTCCTTGGGGCCACGAAACGTGCGAGAGGTGTGCCGAAATTAATGGCGGGGACGCATGCGAACTGTGCCACTGGGACCTTCGGCGGAGCCCCCATGGGGCCATGGAACGTGTGAGGGGTGTGCCGAAATGAATGGCGGGGACGCATGGGAACTGTGCCACTGGGACCTTCGGCGGAGCTCCTATGGGGCCACGAAACGTGTGAGGGGTGTGCCGAAATGAATGGTGGGGACGCGTGCGAACTGTGCCACTGGGACCTTCGGCGGAGCTCCCGTGGGGCCACGAAACGTGTGAGGGGTGTGCCGAAATGAATGGCGGGGACGCATGCGAACTGTGCCACTGGGACCTTCGGCGGAGCTCCTACGGGGCCACGAAACGTGTGAGGGGGGTGCCGACATGAATGGCGGGGACGTATGCGAACTGTGCCACTGAGACCGGCGGAGCTTCTATGGGGCCACGAAACGTGTGAGGGGTGTTCCGAAATGAATGGCGGGGACGCAGGCGAACTGTGCCACTGGGACCTTCGGCGGAGCTCCCGTGGGGCCACGAAACGTGTGAGGGGTGTGCCGACATGAATGGCGGGGACGCATTCGAACTGTGCCACTGGGACCTTCGGCGGAGCTCCTACGGGGCGAAACGTGTGAACGGGTGTACCGAAGTGAATGGCACGGACGCATGCGGACTGTGCCACTGGGACCTTCGGCGGAGCTCCTATGGGGCCACGAAACGTGTGAGGGGTGTGCCGAAATGGATGGCGGGGACGCATGCGAACTGTGCCACTGGGACCTTCGGCGGAGCTCCTATGGGGTCACGAAAAGTGTGAAGGGTGTGCCGAAATGAGTGGCGGGGACGCAGGCGAACTGTGCCACTGGGACCTTCGGCGGAGCTCCTATGGGGCCACGAAACGTGTGAGGCATGTGCCGAAATGAGTGGCGGGGACGCATGCGAACTCTGACACTTGGACCTTCGGCGGAGCTCCCATGGGGCCACGGAACGTGTGAGGGGTGTGCCGAAATGAATGGCGGGGACGCATGCGAACTGTGCCACTGGGACCTTCGGCGGAGCTCCTATGGGGCCACGAAGCGTGTGAGGGGTACGCCGAAATGAGTGGCGGGGGCGCATGGGAACTGTGCCACTGGGACCTTCGGCGGAGCTCCTATGGGGCCACGAAGCGTGTGAGGGGTGTGCCGAAATTACTGGCGGGGACGCATGCGAACTGTGCCACTGGGACCCTCGACGGAGTTGCCATGGGGCCACGAAACGTGTGAGGGGTGTGTCGAAATTAATGGCGGGGACGCATGCGAACTGTGCCACTGGGGCCTTCGGCGGAGCCCCCATGGGGCCACGAAACGCGTGAGGGGTGTGCCGAAATGAGTGGCGGGGACGCATGCGGACTGTGCCGCTGGGACCTTCGGCGGAGCTCCTATGGGGCCACGAAACGTGTGAGGGGTGTGCCGAAAATGAACGGCTGGGACGCATGCGGACTGTGCCACTGGGACCTTCGGCGGGGCTCCTATGGGGCCACGACACGTGTGAGGGGTGTGCCGAAATGAATGGCACGGACGCATGCGGACTGTGCCACTGGGACCTTCGGCGGAGCTCCTTGGGGCCACGAAACGTGCGAGGGGTGTGCCGAAATTAATGGCGGGGACGCATGCAAACTGTGCCACTGGGACCTTCGGCGGAGCCCCCATGGGGCCATGGAACGTGTGAGGGGTGTGCCGAAATGAGTGGCGGGGACGCATGGGAACTGTGCCACTGGGACCTTCGGCGGAGCTCCTATGGGGCCACGAAACGTGTGAGGGGTGTGCCGATATGAATGGCGGGGACGCGTGCGAACTGTGCCACTGGGACCTTCGGCGGAGCTCCCGTGGGGCCACGAAACGTGTGGGGGGTGTGTCGAAATGATTGGCGGGGACGCATGCGAACTGTACCACTGGGACCTTCGGCGGGGCTCCTATGGGGCCACGAAGCGTGTGAGGCGTGTGCCGACATGAGTGGCGAGGACGCGTGCGAACGGTGCCACCGGGACCTTCGGCGGAGCTCCTATGGGGCCACGAAACGTGTGAGAGGTGTGCCGAAATGAGTGGCGGGGACGCATGCAAACTGTGCCACTGGGACCTTCGGCGGAGCTCCTATGGGGCCACGAAACGTGTGATGGGTGTGTCGAAATGATTGGCGGAAATGATGTGGCGGGGACGCATGCGAACTGTGCCACTGGGACCTTCGTTGGAGCTCCCATGGGGCCACGAAACGTGTGAGGGGTGTGCCGAAATGAATGGCGGGGACGCATGCGAACTGTGCCGCTGGGACCTTCGGCGGAGCTCCTATGGGGCCACGAAACGTGTGAGGGGTGTGCCGAAACGAATGGCGGGGACGCATGCGAACTGTGCCACTGGGACCTTCGGCGGAGCTCCCTATAGGGCAACGAAACGTGTGATGATGTTGATGATGCTGATGTTGGTGTTGATGATGATGATGATGATGATGATGATGATGATGATGACGGTGATGATGGTGATGATGGTGGTGATGATGATGATGGTGATGGTGACGATGATGCTGATGATGATGATGATGATGATGATGAGAGGGGGGGAGGAGGGAGGAGGGAGGAGGAGGATGAGGAGACGCGGGGACCGTCCCTTCAAAACGAGGACCCAACAACACAGGCTGGTTGGGAAAAACTGCAAGAGCTTCACGGATTTCAGCGCGTGTGGGTTTCAAAGATGTGGCTCTCGCATTATATATATAAATAAATAAATAAATTTGACAACATATATATATATATATAA